CTCCAGCAGAGCATCTGGTGGATTCAAACCACATACCTCTGGGATTGTAGTGCAGCTTCTTGCCACTAGCTCCCTTGAGAGTTTAATCTTAAAGTACAGAGTCTGGAAAGGGTATTAATGGGAAGAGTTGCTGCTGGCTGCCCTATGCTCACCAGTCCCTTAGATACTGAAGCTACCTGGCCATGCCACAGCCTCCCCGGGCTCTCTCCAACCCTTCCCCAGCAGAAAGGTCCACAACTTCCAAACGCATCATTCAGAAGTTTTTAATAAACAACTTCATTATAAAAACTTTTTTTTGAAAATGTAATTCTGTAAGACATTGGAAAATCTACTTAACAAAGATATGCCCTGTGCATTTTCTAATGGCACTTATATTTTACAATAAAAACCTTGTTTTATATAAAGCCAAAAATACTCCAAGAGGTTATTCACTGTGTATACAAAGTGCTAGAAGGTTTTTGTCTTGTATTTTTCTTTCTTTAAATAATCTGGCATTATGAAGGAGTGGCTCCACAGCCTTCACCACTGGCAGGGCAGGGCAGGGTTTAAGAGGAGGGGTTTCAGTTTGAGTGCCAAACAGTCTGAAGTGAAGGAGTGCTCATGGGACAACTCAGCTAACAAGGTCAGCTGACCACTGAAGAGGTGGCTGGAATACTTCAAACCCCTCCACACAGGCACTCGTGGTGAGCCCCCCACCCCCCCAAAAAACCCCCTACTCTCCAGTGGTGAAGGTCTTGGCCAATTCTTCCACAGCAGGTTCAGAGCTCCAGGAGAGGCCAGGGTGGGGTCCCAGAAGAAATCTGGACTTTTCTGGCCAACACCTGCCTAAGGCAAAGTTTATTTTTACATAAATATCCTTGTTAAAAGCAAAATATTGATCCTGTACAAATAAACTGTTTTTTAAAAATCGTGCTTAAGAACAGCTCCTAGGTAAGAGGGCAGTTGAAAGGGCAGAAAAAAACAGCTACCAAAGGGGAGGAACTTAAAGGGTTACTAAGGACAAGTTCAAGGTAATGGGAGATTTTTCAACTTAGGAAAATTATCTACGAGCAAAAAATAATTAATCACACCTGCTTCCCAGATTTCCATTAATAAAATGTCTTTTGTAAAAGGTTTGGCGGGTGGGGGGGGAATGCAAAATCCTTGGTTCTTCTTTCCTGGCCTCTCATCTCTTCAGAGTGGGGCAGAGATCCTTTGAGCAACCCACCTGACAATCCACCCCCTGGCCCCTCATGGCAGCCTACTACAGACAGAGGCTGGGGCGGTTCACTCCTTTTTTCTGGTTTCTATTTGGACATCGCCTTGTGCCAAAGCTGCTCTGTGGCCAGATGCCCCTCCAGCTCTTACGGCCTCAGGAAGGGCACTGAAGTGGGTTTGAGTGCTGAGTATAGGATAAAGCTATTCTTATCCTTTGACCAACCAGACAGGCCAATGAGGGGTTTTGCTGTTTTTTCCCCTTCTGTTCTGAGAAAAGAGATTTAAGAAACAGCTAGGTGACTATGGGTTTTGGTTTTGGTGTTTTTTTTTAAAAGGTGAAGACATATGTTCTAAATCAGCAAAGCTGATAGTGATAGATTCCTGATGGCTGGCGAGGTCACTGAGGGAAGAAGGAAGATGGAAGTAGGGCAGTAAGGGGAGAAGACAAAGCAGGGCCAGTCCCAAGGTTTTAAATAGTTGCTTTGTCTCTCCTGAGTTTACCAGCATCACCAATGGAGGAAGGGAGTTCAAGGGACAGTAAAGAGCAGACAGAGGACTGCTTTATAGCCTGGGACTTTACACTGAGGCCCATCTGCCTCTGTCAACCAAGGGTGCAGGGAGTCCGCGAAGGGTTGCTGGGTCTAGTGATGAAGACCAGATACAGCAAGGAGAAGGGCAGCAGCGAACCACTTGGATTCTCACATACCACTTCCTGTAATACGAGTCCCAATAACATGCACAGCATGCAGGAGACGGCTGCGTACCAGATGGACGCGCTTTTATTTATCTTAAATAAACCTTAATTAGTCCCTGGGACTCACTGAAAGTACTTTTTAGAAGCAAATTGCCTAGTCGGATGCTAACTCGTAAGATATTTCTTTTTTAATTCTAAAGTATCCCAAAGCTACCCTGTCTAAATGACAAATCTGTTTATATACTCTATTTCTTCCAGTCAGGGGTTGGGGGAACTAAGTTTTAAGGCTTTCACCTCAAACAAAAAAGAGTACTGGCCTGGGCAGGAACAGAAGCCTGGTCTTGGACCTTTCTGGTTCCTGATGGAAAACCAAGTGATCTCTACAAAGCAGAAAGACTAGGAGGAGGCTGAGGCATGAGTGATGAGGCAGTTCCTTGGTGTTTGTCCTGAAATCCTAGTGGAGAAGCCAGCATGAGGCACCTGCTTAAGTGTCTAGAACTGCTAGCTGCATCTGTAGGAGTTAACAGTAAAGAGGTAGAAGTGTGTTTCTGAATTGGAGTGAAGGTGTCTCAAGTGTCCCAAGATGGTGGTCCCTGAGCTGCCTCCCTCCTACGCTGCGAATAGCGAAGCCCACACATAACTGAGAGGAAGCAGGTGAGAGGCTAGGCTGAGTTCTACTGTTTGTGGCAGTGGAGCCCCACAAGTCAGAAGAGAACGAATTGTTTGGTGCAAGAAACCCTGCTGGGAGCTGGGGGAGCAGAACTGAAGGGAGAAGTTCTCTGACGGAGAACAGAGAGGAGCTTACGCACAGCAGCCCTGAGTCCGTGGGGACAATAAAATGGAGCAACGTTGTGGAGAAGTAGTTTGATTTGGAGGCAACTGCAGCCACGAGTTAGGACTTCATTCTATAAGCCCAGTTCTAACCTTCTGTAAACTCTTCTTCCACCAATGCACAGCTTCCTGGGAAAGGGACAGGAAGGAGAGCGAAGAGTGAAGGGCTTATGTCTTCTCCTTTCCTTTGCTGGTATCTATTTACACCAGCCTGGAACCCAGACCCTTGCTTCCAAGACTAATAGCGTTAGCTCCTGGTGCTCAGGGCAGGTGAGGGGTAGGACGTTATGGTAGAGGGTATGCTTTTCATGCCTTCCCTTCTCCAGTTCCAAAGGAGAAGGATGAGGGGATCATGATGGACTTGGAGAAAAACAGAATTGCAGACCTGTGAGAGACTGCTCCAATCTTCCGGCCTGTCTCCTGTGGACGCTGCCGAGGAAGACAGGCACTGACGCGGTCATGGAAGATGGCAGAGACTGAAGCAGTCCAAAGTCAGTTTATTTCCCCACAGGGGAAAAAAATGTGACCTCAAATGAAGAGAAGTCAGCGAGACCCGACTCCGCCGTGTAAACAGGGCTCCAGTTAACACCAGCTACCAAATGGTTCAGGCTGGTGCCAACTGGAATGACTGGTGGGAATGGATTCACGGTGTGTAAACAATGTTCACTGCAATCATTCTAAGGCTAACAGCTCGGCAAGGGAGGTGAAATGGTATGTCTGAGGTGGCTCTGTAAACGGTACCGTTGCTGGACAACACTGACTGAAAATGGAGGTGTTGATGCAGGAGGAGGGGGTGGCGGGGGACAACAGAGGCCCTCTCCTGCCCAATGGTTGGAGGCAGACCATGGAGCCAAGTGACCCTCTGCGGCAGGGCCTGACTGCCACCAGGTCTGCAGGTCAGATCCGAAGGTGGCTTCTTGGGTCATTTCTCTCGAGGTCATCTGAGGTGAACCCCTTCACCGTTTCTGCATCTCCAGGAGGTCTCTCTCTTCCCCAAAGAAAAGGAGACTCTGATGCTTTGGAGAGGGAGAGGGCTAAGTGTGGCTCCCGATTCAGATTAATGGAAAATAAAAAAGTCAAAATACCTGAAGTCCTATGGTATGAGATCTTTTCATGGGGTTGGGGTTCAAGGCTCTTCCTGGAATTGATCCTAAAGCCTGAACCCTCAAACCAAGTGCTCCATATAGACACTGGAAATTTTTTCCCCTCTTTGAACCCAGCCCTGAAAGCTCAGCTGCCTTCGTGGGGGTAAGGGTGAGTGGGTACCAAGGCTCTCTGACGGGGATTTCCTGGGGGGTTACTGGAATGCCTGGTGGAAACGAGGCAGGGTGGTGGTGCTTAGGCCGGAGGTGAAGACAGGAGGCAAGGAGTGCAGAGGTCCAAAGTTCAGCGGTCCCCCAGATCCTGGAGAATCCTGAGGCTGAGCCTGCAAAGTGGTGAGCAGGGGCTGCGTCTCGGCCTGTGAGTAGCCCATGACTAGGCCTCCTGTGGTCCCGGGCGGGTTACACGGGGGCAGGTTGAGTGGGAGAAAGCCCAGCAGGTGGGAGAAGTCCACATTAGCAGCGCACAGAGCCTCCGAGAGGTTGGCGGGACTCTTGGCGAGCAGTGCTTCATCCAGGAGGGCCGCAGCTGCCGCCGGCTGAGGTGAGGCGGGCTGGGCTTCGGCAGAGGAGAGAGACAGGCTTCCAGGAAGCTCCGCCAGAAAACTATCCACCTCCACTTTGGGCAATTTGTCAGGCAAGTATGAGGTAGATCCAAGCTGGTATTTTGGAGGGAGCTGAGCTGGGGAAGAGATAGGTGAGGATTCCAGAGGGTAGGTCATACCCATGGGCAGTGGATTGTGCACCAGGGAGTGTGGCACACCTGTGCTGGACATGGGAGGGATGTGGGCACCATACATGCCCATGGGCAACATGCCCGGGAAGGCCTTGGCCCCCATCATGTCCCGAGAGGCCATGCAGAGCACAGGGCTCAGCTCTTCCTTTACACTGACTGTGGAGCTGCAGCTGAGAAGGCCTAACATGTCCACGGGCTCCGTCTTGATCTTGAGCAGCTCCTGTGAGTGGCTCTTCTTGACATGCCGCGTAAGGTGGTCCTTGCGCCCAAACCGTTGGGCGCAGTACTGGCACAGGAAGTCTTTCCGGCCCGTGTGGACCACCAGGTGCCGCCGCACATCCTTACGTGTATAGAACCTCCGGTCGCAGTGGTCACACGGGTGCTTCTTCTCCTTGGCACCACCTGCTACCCGGCGTGAGTGGGCTTTCAGGTGTTCGAGCAGGGCCTGGGTGCTTTCAAAGGTCTGCAGGCACACCTTGCAGCTAAGATCGCCGCTGCTGGCAGCGTGCATGGCCAGGTGGCGCCGGTAGCCCAGCTTTGTATTGTAATTCTTACCGCACTCGGAACAGTGGAGGGATTCTTTGTTGGGGTCGTGGGTCTGCAGATGGTTCCGCAGGTGGTCCTTGCGATGAAACATCTTATCACAATACATGCACTGATGAGGTTTCTGAGCCGAGTGGGTGGCCATGTGCCTGTGAGTGGGGATGGAGGACACAGGAGAAAGCAGAAAGAGAAGGGATCACAAGGGCTGGCTAGACAACTAAGCTGCCCATTAACAGGGAACGAGATACAAACATCATGATAGAACCACAGGCTACACTACTAACTATAGTCTACAGGTATCTTCAACCATACAAAGTCTCATGCAGCGATCAGTAGTAGTAGTAGTAGGGAAACCTGAATGTCCATCAACAGAAAACTAGTTAAATTATATTAAATCCATAAAAAGGATCAACATTTTTAAAAAACAAGGCCACTTTAGATGTGCCCACAGGCAACAAGTTCCTCAGGTTTATTAAGTGGAAAAAAGCAAAACTGTGCATGCAGAATGGACCTATTGGGTACCGTTGAGTCAGAACTGACCCAAAGCTGACCCTCCAGCAGGTTTTCAGAGGCAGTTAATCGCATGGGAGATTGCCCATCCTTCTCCCGAGAATGGATCTAGTATATTCTAAAAATGCATAAACACTGATATGTACTGCTATGTACACTGATTGTATAGCCTTAAAATATTTTTAGAAAGATCTATAAGAAATGACAACTTGGTTGCCTGTGGGTAGAAGAACTGAGTGGTTTGTAGGCTGGGTGTGTTGAAGGATTTTCACTGTACACCTTTTAGTACCTTTCAAAAGCTAAATTTCCTTTTAAAAAATTAAATTTAAAAATGATACAGTGTTATACAACACAGAGCTCCCCAATGTAAATGATACACTTTAATTAATAATAGAGCAAAATCAGTTCATCAGCGTAACATATGTAACAAATTCAAGCCCCTCAGTAGGAGAGAAACTGCAGAAGATGGAACTCTACTTCCTACAATTCTGATGTAAAATCAGAAAGAAAGTAGAGCTGTTTTTCAAAATTGCTCTAAAAAGAATATTTTTAAAAAAAATTTATTCATTGTTGCACATTTTCCTCCCTCCCCTTCTCTTCCCTCTCCTCCTAAAAAAAGAATTTTTTAAATTAAACAATAAAGGAAACTACAGTATATAAATGTAAAAATACAGATTTCAATGTCAGAAAAGATATACAAGAAATGAGTCACAACAGCTACCTCTGGAGGAGAACAGAGGAATGATGACTTCAAGTGTGAAGATAATTTGTCACTTGTCCCTGCATGTCCATTTGAACCATCTGAATTTGTTTTGCCAGGAAAACCAGTAACAGTTTAATTTTAATAACAGGATATCTCAGTGGCCCTTGGTTTACCTGCTCCCATTTGGCTGGACAGTAGCTCAGAGTCCAGGAACTGTAACTTACCATTCCACTGTACACACAGGGTCAACGGAGCTAGACTTTGCGAGCTTACTGTCTCCCAGATCCTATAGGAGCTGTGTCACTGACCTTGTTCTCCAGACTGGGAGGGTGAAGCGTGGGGCAGCTCCACCCACCAGTCAGTAAAGGGCAGAGGCCAGATTTAAACACAGACCTTCTTGAAGCCTGGGTGTACTAGGTATGTCACCGATGGCACCCAGTGATTCTATTTCAAAGGTAGTAAACACACCCACGGCCCTCATGCTCAAGAATGTTCATGCCTATAAGGGCTACTATTAACCTCTGGGACACAATATGAGGGGGAGGTGCTGAGTGACCTACAGTTTATTTCCTTCATTTTAAAATTGAGGAAACTGAGGCACAGAAAGGTTATTATAAGCTTACCAAAGGCCACATGGTGGTTTATAGGAAGAGTAAAGGCTCCTGCTTCTTGGGTCTAAACCCCTCCTGTGGCTTCCCACTAGCACCCACAATGTCACGGAAGGCCTCTAAGAGGATGACCCCAGATGGAGTCTTCCTAAGACACAGGGGCACACAGAGTCAAAGCATTCCAAAACTGTCAGGAGGCCAGTGCTGGCCACCATGCTGCCCCACCACCTTAGTTCCCTCCTATTAAACCTGTTCTCCAGAGGAGTAAATGAGGCTTTCTGCAGTCATCTTCATGCTTTGACTTGTTTATTGTCTGTCTCCATGATTAGACTATAAACACTGAGAGGGCTTGGCACTCCCACCTGTCTGGCTCACTACTCTGTCGAGCACTGAGCACTGTGCCTTGTAGGAAACAGCTCAATGAACAAGTAAGGAAATGTACGGAGGGTTGGAGGACTGCATGAGGCCTGTTTCTCATGTAAAGCACATGTTCCTGTTTCCTCTAATGGAAAGGTCAGGATAAAATCCCAATGACTGACCAGGGCTCCCATCCCACCAAAACCACCAAAGCTGATCTGCCACATCGGCTTGACCCCTGGACTTCTGCATTTCGTTTCACTTTAAGTAGGGCATCTTGTCTTACATATTTCAGATAAGCCACCAACCCAGGGGGCACAGGGGCTCTACAGATGAGTAAGAAATAATCTGAGTGTGTCAGTCTGGCTTAGCAGAAGGGCCACTGTGGGACCAGAATTCAGTCTGGCACTAGAAGCTAGACAATCTTGGGTAGTTACTTCTCCTCTCTGAGCCACCACTTTCTAAAATTTACAAAAGGAACCAGAGGATGTCCTTTTCCTTCTAAGACGTATTCCTACTTTCCAGCTAATGTTCTCATCCCTACGCTAACAGGTGTAGAAAACGGAATACTGAAAAAAAGCGATCAGTCTAGATTGCTCATGGCTGCCTGATACTGTTCTCAAGACTCTAGTGTTTAATGAAAGGAGCAACAACCACCTCCGCTATTATTTTTTAGTGAGCAAACAGAAATGGTTGGAATTCAAGGGACACTCATGGGACAAATCAATCTCTCCTCCTGTGCCACAGAGAAAGGCCCCACATGCAGCTGGGTCTCTGGTTTTACCTGGGGACTCTGGGGCAGGAGAAGGTCGAGGAATGCCACCTACCTATAGAGCTTGTACTTGGAGGCAAAAGCCTTGCCACAGTGCTGCTGAGGGCAGCTATACGGTTTCGGCTCTGGATGGGGAAGACTGTGAGGCCTCAGCTTCTCCCCACTGGAGAAAGGTGTCCCCGAGATTTCACATTGGCATTTCACTTGACTTTCTGTCTCCCGGCCCCGAGGCCTGGGAACTAGTTTCCAGCCTACTTCCTCCTCCTGCTTTGCATCTTGAATCCAGGGGGGGACGCTGGTGAAAAATGTGGTCATGGCAAGGTCAACAGCGGAGGGCCATGTTACTCAGAAAGTCTCCCCATCAGCTCCGCACAGGTTCTCTGCTCTGTCACGGCCTCCAACGCAGCCTTCAGAAAACAATCTCTTCACCTGCAACATCAGAACACTGTGTGAGTGCGCCTGACACCACGACATCATGGGCACTGGAGGCAGGGTTCATTCTAATCCCAACCCTCCCTTTTTAGAAGTTAGGCGACTCTCAGTGTATTACTTCCCTGAGCCATTTCCTCATTTATAAAATGGGCATAATGGTCCCCTAAATCATAAGGATGTTCTGAGGAATAAGTGACACAGTGAACACAAAACACTTGGTAGAAGACTGGGCACCTGGAAAGTGCTCCGTGGTAACTATTACTAGTAACGTCTAGTCCACAGGGGAATTGTGCTAACTCAAAGCTCACATCGCTCGGGCAGTTTAAATCTGCCAGTAGCTCCCAGGGGTTAAGATGGCTAATCTCCTGTGGGATTTATAGCCTCAGAAACCAATGGAGGTTCAGCTAGGAGGTGTTTCTGTCTTGACAGCAATGAGTTTGAGGCTAACAAAAAAAATGAGATAATCGAAGGAAGTAAAAGCCTAAATATTCTAAATTTCACTTCTGACTTCACTTTTACATCCTTCCGACTAAGCCTAGAGAGAGCAGTTCCTCCTCAGCCTACCTCCACCTCACCCACTTGTCAATTCTCCTCTTCATGATGTGTTGAGGAGAAATAAAATGCCCAAAAGGCAACAGAGGAGACAGAATGAGAAGCCTTTAAAAACCTACACCTGAAAATCCGGCCCATGCATTAGGAATGGGGGCTAGATGGGTTTCTGAGCAGCACATCAATATCAGGAGCTTCTGTCTGCAGAGGCAACAGCAGGCTCTTAGCATTTTTGCCTAAACCAGTCCTGGTACCACTCTGACCTCTATCATCTCCCTGGGTCTCTACAGCTTGGGTCCACATCACGCCTCCTGAGCAGAGACTGCCCCACTCTCCAAGGTGCTAAATGGTGTTCATATAGACCTTTATAGGCTCTTGTTTATAAAGTTGCCATGAGTTGTACTAGACTTGATAGCACCTAACAGCAACAACAAACATTACCATGAACAGCAACATGCTTCTATTAGAATTATTTCATCTCCTCCATTAGACTCTTGGGTTTTGGGAATCTATCTTGAATGAAGTGCAGCCACAGTGCTCGTTAGAGGTGAGACTTCATCTCACATACTTTGGGCATGTTATCGGGAGCGGTTACTCCCTGGAAATGGACATCACGCTTGGAAAAGAGTCAGCGAAGGAGAGGAAGACCCTCAATGAGATGATGAATCGACACAATGACTGCAACAATGGGCTGAAGGTAAACAGATTGTGAGGCTGGCGCAGGACCAGGCAGGGTTTGTTCTGCTGTCCACAGGGCCAGCATGAGTGGAGCTGACTCGAAGGCACTTCACAACAACGTAATCACCTACACAGAGTGCTGGCGTGCCAGGATGCCAACCCGTCGAGTCCGCTGGTTGCTCCGTGGGAGAGCAAAGGGTCATTTCTGCCCATGAAGATTTAGAACCTCAGAAATCCCATGGAGGAATCAACTCAATGGCAGTGGACTCAACTCAAAGGTAGTTTTGTCACAGCTAATGAGACTCAATGTTCTGTTCGAAGAGCACATCAGGCAAGGAATTCAAGTTGATTTTCAGAGGCGAATGTGTCCCTAACGAGTTCTGGTCTAAACCTGGTTCAGAGCCCTTTCAAAAGTGAAGAGACCAAAGTCCTCAACTTCTGAGTATCTCTTACTCAGACATGGTGGTAGGAGGACTTGAGCAAAGGTTGACACAACTCCTTTCCTGGTACCAACTCATAGAAAGACGAAGAGGGGAGTTACTGTACTGATGCTCAAAAGGGAGACAACAGAGCAAATTTCATACTCAAAATCTTACCGCAGATCACCAAGGAACACGCAACCTGCTCTAACAGGGGGAGTCCCTTTAAAGAAATTATGCCAAAATTCGATCATGAGGCTTTTCTATGTGAAAGGAACAAAGGTGTGTCTGAGGACTGTCCATGAGGATCTGAGGAAGGCTCCAACCACGCAAACTCGCTGTGGGCCAGAGAACGCTTGCTCAGCTCATTAGCACCTGCTGCTTACAGCGACCATTTCATCCAACAGACTGGCCGTGAACGAGATGATGGGCTCAGCGGGTTTATGACCCAGAGAGCTTTGCTCATCATTAACGTGAGCTATATCCTGTTCAGGAACCATTCTTCTTGCTGAAGAAACACTGCAACATAGTATGATAAACATTTCCCCAGCACGAGGAGAGATTGGCCCAGAAAGATCTGCATAAAGGTGGCTGCATTTTGCATGAGTCACATGCAGGGGTGGGATAGACAGTACTAAAAACTAGTCCCACTTGAGCCTTCAAGTCATCATGGAATATCTGCCTACTTCACTATAAACCTCAAAGGCCTCCGATACCTGCCTATTCTGAAGTTCCCTCTTCCTTTTCAAGAGTGGAATTACCCGTTTATAATGCCAGTTTATGACAGAACATGCGTAGAACATGAGCCCAAGTGCACACGTCTACTCTAGGGGGTGGAGATTCCCCTCATCTTCAAAGTCAACCTGTGGTCCCATTAATGTTTGAATGATGCACCTCAGCCTCTGGAAGTTGGGAAATGGCAGCCAGAGGGAAGGAAGGCCCGTCGCATCACTTTGGCTGATGTGAGAGAGAAGCGTAACCCTGGAAACTCCACACAAACTCAGAAAGAGAACAGTACGTCCCCCACCTCCCACACGTCCACCTCGTCTGTTCTCTTGTACAAGAACAAACAAGACGCAGCACTTCAGTACGCTGTTACTGAAAGAGTGAGTAATGGGCTTCGAGGAAAGAGGCTGCTGGTGGTAAAGGCGGGCTCGAGGGGCCGGACTGATACAGAAATCCCAAGGAGGAGGGCACAGCCATGTGCTTGCCTTGATCTGCCTTTAATGGGCTGTGGCTTTAAAAAGAAAACAGCCAACACCCTCGTCCTACTCTCCTCCACTTTTTCAAAGGCCCTGTGAAGCTCTGTCCTACGTCACTGGCAGGCCACGCTGGAAAACCAAAGCTACTAGTGTTACCTTGGGAACCCTTTTGGGGGTCTAGTCTCTCTTCCCCTGTGCTTTGTCTGCGCTCTCCTCTGAACCAGAAGATTCCTGGGCTGGTCTCACATAATCAGCAGGCCTGCTCCTTAAGACCTCACCTCGCTTGGCAAAACCGTGAAAGAATCTGCTCCTCTTTCAAAGCTGCTCTTCTGGTCTCACGCTCTAACCTCTTAACAACCAGAGAGAAGCTGACAGAACCTGTTCCCATAAAACAAACACAATCCCTCCCAGTTACTGGTATAACGCAGTGTGTTTTCAGCCTAAGATTTCGTCTGGCACCTGATCTGAAGAGAGAAGCAGCAGAGAAAGAACCTTGGACTCACTATCAGAGGAGCTTCCACGAAACCGTGGGCAGGTTGCTGCTCTAAGACTCTGCACCTCAGTTTCCCCAACTTGTAAAACATGTTTTCTTCCTATCTATTCACCTTGAGGGGTGATGTAAGTGCCTTTTCAAAGAGTCTAACATAAAATGTGCCCACTTGTACAGCCTAAATTGCATCTGCCTCCTTCCTGCACGAGGCCTGAACAGCACTCTCCCCACCCCCTCCTTTGATGTTTTTTTCTCAGGCCTCAGAATAAGTTTCCTTCCCTTCCCAACATGTCCCCAGAACACAGCCTTCCCCTTTTCCCTCCCAACTAACCCTCACTCAGCACATCCCCTTTAACCAGCTCCCCGCCCCCACCCCCCCACTTTATCTTCCTCCAGCACCATCTCTTGGGCCAGAGTTCTCCCAGATATTTACTTTAGGCACCTCTTTTATTAGGAAGGCTCCGTTCCCAAGATAGGAATGTCTCTTAAACCGTGCAGGGGCCTCCTCGGAAGCCGAGGAGAGATGCAGTGCCGCCATGATGCCTGCTGACCTCTGATGAAACTCGTTTTTATGGTATTACATCATCTCTATAGAAACTACGTTCTTTCTCCATTATTAGTCTGTTTCCTCATCTGAAAACCTAAAAATACTTACCTCACAGGCTTGCTGTGAGGATTATTTCAGTCAGGTATGCGAAGGGCTGAGAAGGCGGCTTAGGCCGCTGTGAGTGCCCAACAAAAGGGGGCTATTCTTTTTGCCTTTGTATTGAGTTGCATGTTCCCACCTTCTTCAGCTCTCCTTGAACCCACACCCCTCCCAACTGTGGGTAGTCCCTGCAGCAAGAAAAGGGTTAATCTCTGAGTGTTCCTAACCAGAGAGACCCACAGAGGATTAACAGCTCCACTTCAGTGACTGCCCTAAAATAGCTTTTATCCCTCCTGCCCAAGAGCTACTTGGAGGATCTAAAGAACTCAATTCAACACCTGCCGAGGAGGAAACACACCCAGGAGCGTTCCTGAGGGTGGACAGAACCTTCTCTTAAGCAGGACTCAAAATAGCAACTGGGAAATTATAAATAAAACCAGGTCTTGACCTGAGTGCCAGAAACAAATCCAAGTGACAAACTGGCTGGCTAGTGGACAGGAGAGGGAGAATAGCTGCTCCCCCGCCCCATACACACACACACACACACACACACACACACACTCTCTCTCTCTCTCTCTCTCTCCCCCCCCCCCCTACCCAGAGTGGTGGGAGAATTAAATTACAGGGAGGCTGGAGAGTTTCAATGACTTGCATCATTCCAAGAGACATCAAACAGGATTAACAGGGGTTGGATTTACTCTCGGGTGGATAGTTCCGCTGGCATAGATGGGCCCTCTTTCGGGGTCCTTTTAACTCACTATCTCCTCTGATTCCCATTTGCCTCTCACTCCTGAGCAAAGGGCCACTGCTGATCGTAGCCCCACTTTTACCGGGAGGACACATGATCAGAGAGCCCTCACTCCCCCCCCCTACTCCCACCTGGTGGCCTCCCTTTGCGGGAGAAAAGTCAGTAGGAACTCAAGGTCGGCTCTATTAGTTGAAGGCTGACAGGTGGAAAAACACACAAACCAGGAAAACAGACTACACTTGGCAGGTGAAACACCAAAATTCCTCCAACCTGCTACCCCCTTATCCTCCTCTGTGTAGGTCCCTTTGGCCTGCTGAACTAGGCAACAACTTGAATCTCCAACCAACTTCTGGGTACACCCTCACCCTCACCTCTCCGTGTGATGGGAAAGGCTAAATTCCCATGGGGCTGGGGAAGACAGGAGTGAATGGTGGTCAGAGAAGGGATGGAAATGCAGAAGACGTCGGAGGGGGGGGTGTCTCAGTGACGGTAATGAAAGGCGATCTCTAAGGGATCCCAGACGGGGAGGTGGGAGCATCATAAGGGGTGAAAGGCTCCAGGAGTTGAGGATAAGGAGAAATTAATTTTCTGGATTTCAAGGGAGTCTCAAAATGCGTGTCTGGACGGGTCACTGGGGCGTCTGGGTTGTGATATGGGCTCTGGAGAGGGTGCGACAAGTAGGGCTTATTTAGGTTCTCCAAGACCAAAGTATTCCAGGGAAACCTCAAAAAGGTTATGAAGGTCTGGGAAACTAAACCAGGGGAAAGAGGGGGCTCCTTGGAGCAGAGAAGAGGGGGTTCTGTGGGTCTGGGTAGGCGTGTCCGAGGGAGAGAGCAGGTGCAGCTTATCTGCGTCCCCCAGACTCGGGCTCCTGGTAAGGTCAGCAGCGTGTTATCTGGGGCTCTGGGAAGCTCGGGCGGGGGGAAGGGGTACCCTCAGGGCTGTGTCTCCACATTTCTAAAGTGAGGAAACCAGTTGGGGTTCCTCGGGTCCCTCCGATCCAAAGATCGAGCTGCGGGGAAGGTCTGGTCACCCTGGGGCGTAGCTGGGCCCGGGTTGACGCAGAGGGGGCCCCACTCGGGGGTGTGGGCCACCGCACTTGGGGGGCCCGCGATGAGGGGCGCCGGGCGCGCGGGCGCAACGAGCCTGCCCCCCGCCC